CCATGCGCATCCCATGTGCAACGTCCGATCTACTTTTGAAACATCAAGATGCAACATACACTTGAAACAAACGTATGAAACACTTGCGAGAACGCCTGAAAAATATTTGAAAACCATTGCAAACATAGCAACATCCAGACGAAATACTTGCAAATATACATATGAAACACCTAAAAACACTTGAAACATATGCTTGCAACATGCATGTATATGCAATATCTAGATCTACTTTTGCCACATCTAGACAAAACACTTGCAACACTAGTCTAGAACAGATGAAATATTTAGAACATACACTTGAAACATACGTGTATAGCCATTACAACATGTGCAACATCCCGATCTACTTTTGTAACATCGATGTACAACACTTGTAAAATACCTCGGAAATATCTGAAACACTTGAAACATACTATTATAACATGCCCTTTCAGCATAGCATCTGCTTGCTGATTGGACGAATGGAGGCTTGTCAATGTGGAGCTCACGTCGACATGAAGCTCGAAGCCACGGAGTGGCGCGGAGGTCACCGGTGTGGAGCTCGTCGGCGGCACGGACCTCGGCAGGGGCAAAGGCAAGCGGATGGAGCATGGCCGCGACTGGAGGCGCGAGTCCGCGACCGAGCGCCTTGCGCGTCGGGCTTGCCGTGCGCAGCGCGGGCGGGCGGCAGGGGCGCAAGCTGGGGGGGCGTGCGAGGACGGTATCCGTCCCACGAGCAGAGCGATCGAGCGACGCGAGCGGGGGCAGTGTGGGCGAGTGCGGGGTCTATCCAGACGGACGTCCTATAAAGAGCGTTTTCGAAGTAAAATAGAGGAATATAGTTTGGAAAGAAAAAAATAAAAAAGGTAATCTTCATAATTTTGTGTAAAAAAGAATATAAATTTCTTCCAACAATGTTTGAAAATAGCAAATTATGTTTTTCCAGCTTCTAAGATTATATTTTCTTAAAAATTTAGTAAATGGTAACTAGTCACATCAGACGAATTTCAATACCCATTACAAAATTTTAGTAGCCATATCAGACGAATTTCCATATCCAAATACTTAAGGCACACGATTTTGGTAGCCTTAATTTGTTGGTGTGTTACCAATAACCATTAACTAATCCTACGTTCAATCAGGAAAGCACCAATAACAAATCCTACGTTATAACAATCAAATGAAAGTATACTACCAATAACAAATCCTATGTGATAACCATCAAATAAAAGTAGTACTAGTTTTTACTCTGATGAAATTCCGTGGTAGATAAAAAACGGTACAATATGATAGGAAAGGAATAAATAAAACAGATGTAGTCCCGCTTGTGATCGAGCTAGCTTGCTGCATGATATTAATCGCGTCTTATCTCATTAAGCAACGAGGAAAAAAGGGGAAATCTAGGAAGGATCCGCGCAGTGGTCACAGGAAGGAAGGCGTGAACCACGCCGGCGGCGGCCATAGCTGATGCTTGCCGAGCGCGAGTATAGTCTCTACCCTGCCGGCCTTTAGGTTATAGAGGCCAACGTCTCTGAGCTCTTGGTCGTCGGCTTGGCCGTAGGAATAGGATCTCTCCTGGCAGTTGGCTTTCTTCAGGCAGGCAGCCCCGACCTCGTCGTCGGTGAAGTAGATGCAGCCAGGCCTGATGCCCTGGTGATCCCTCGTCGACAGGCACAGCGACCCGTTGACGCCGACGAAGAGCGCGGTGTCGCCGATGTCCACCGCCTCCTCCCACCGGCCCTTGACGCGGTCCAGTATCTGGACCTTGAAGAAAACGCGAGTGCGCTTGCCCCTGGAGTAGCGATCGTCATTATCTTCCTCCTTAGCGTGCTTGAGCACGGCCATCAGCCGCCCGTCCGTCGACGCCGCGAGGTACTTGCGGCGCAGGTGCTTGTCCTCGTAAGCCAGCCTCGGCGCGACCTCACCGCTGGTGAACTCGCCGGTCACGGCGTCGCGCTGCCACGCCTCGACGCGGCCGGTGTAGGTGATGGACAGGAAGCGGCCGTCGTGGTGTATGGCGTCCTCGACGGCGTCGGGGGAGCGCGCCATCCTCCACGAGGGGTCCTCCGCCGTCGCGAAGGCCGGGGCGCCGGTGCACCGGTCCATGATGAGCATGGCGGCGTAGCTGTTCGGGCGCGGCGATTCCGAGAGGACGACCTTGCGGTAGAACACCTGTCGCATCTGGGCGGCCGTGACCGTGTACGTCCTCCCCCTCGAAAAGTCGTCTCTGCGTTCCGTCGTCGGGGGTGGGGGTTGGCCTCCGAAGCGGACCTGCAGGAAGGGTTCCACGTGGAGGCAGAACCAGTGGCCGCCGGAGACCGGGTGGATGAACGGGACGGTGGTGATGGCCGGCAGGTCAGCGTGCGCGCCCGTGGCCGGGTTGGTCATGCGCAGGGCGCCCCGGTCGTCGGCCGTCACGAGCCACCCGCCCGAGGAGCCGATGGCGACGTGGCCGCGCATAGCGACGTCCGAGGTGCGCACGGTGGCGGACTCCCCGTCGGCCAGGGACAGGACCTCGTTCTCCGCGGGGAGGATGAGCCACGGCGTCTCCGGCTTCAAGCGGTGCCCCGACGCGGCGCAGACGGAGGCGAAGGCGAGGCGCGTGAGGAAGGCGAGGCGATGGTGGATCTCGGACAGCAGATCGGACGGGAGGTGTTGGACCTGGAACTGGCCAGCTGGGGCAGGGGCAGCTGCGGCGGCGGCGGCGGCGGCCAGCTGCCTCTCCCTCTGCCGCTGGAGTTGGCGGTGGCGTCGCGAACCGGCCATGATTGTTTCGACGAGGATCCAGAGTAGGGCACGGTCCGCTATATATTGCCCATGCAAGTCGGTGGACTTGGATCTAATCTATTATCTCTCCTTTTTTTTTCCTTGGCCAAACACGTGTACGGTGTACCATACGAACTAGAACTAGTACTACAAACAGAGAGTCTCTACTCCTAAAAAGCACGTTTTTTTTTCAAACCCCCGCCCCGTCCTAAATTAAAAAGCCATGCCCAGCCCGAGCCGCCACGCGCCCACGCCGTCCGGCGCCGCCTCTCCCCGTCCCATGAAGCCACCGCCCCGCTCCGGTGCTCCGTCACGCCGCCACCGGTGACCTCCGAGTCCTCTCGCATGGCTTCTCGCCGGTACCGGTCCTTTCCGGCAGTGAACGCGAACTCGGTACGAGGAAGAGGACGGACGAACGACGCTGGGGCTTCGTCCTGCCGCTCTTCAGGAGACGGCCGCCGCGCAAGGCACGTGCGAGAGAGCGAGCAGCACCGGCGTTGGGCGGCTCAGCTCCCCCGGCCCCCGCCCCGCTCTGCATGGTCCTACTCCTATGCAGCACAACTCAGCGGCCACCGCTTCATCGGCTGCGGTTGAAGGGAACTACCATAACAGACTGACATGTAAAATGCGACCTGACACTTTATGAACTTTGAAATCACATATGCATTGCCATACTAGTCTGGCATGATTATTTAGATTTAAAAAATCACATAATTCTCAAGAGTGGCAAATGTAATTTTCAAACTGACTTGAGGCCGCTGGTACAAAGGCCAGCAACTTGCTAACAGCATACACTGACAGCCTCACTTTGATGCAACATTGCCTAAATGATACACGTTACATAAATTTGACAAATATGAAAAGGAGTGATCTAAAACTTGATCAGATTTGGTGTGATGCCCTTGGGAAACTAAAGGGGACAGCGTCTAAATTGTACATTTGTTCTGCCTGTAAAATTAAATCTGTTAGGATCCCAGAACACTCCTTTTTCAAATTTGCTATAGTTTGCAAGGATGTCCATAAAAGACCAAGGGGGTGCACAGGTGAGCATGAACTTGATTATAGAGCATCTCCAATAGTTTCTAAAAAAAAGGTAAATCAATGAGTTTTCCAAGTGGCTATAGAGTTGGAAGCATATTTATTGTGTTCCTCCAAAAATTTTCAAAATCTCAGTCCTAAAATATAGAAGACAATTTTACGTCATGAATCCTAGACTATTTCTAAATCATTCTAATCACTTTTATATTTTCTTTCTCTCTTATAGATTTGCATCAGAATCCTGTTGGTGTCTACCCAAGCTAAGAGGTCCTAGAAGGCCTATTCGACTAACCAAACAAGTCGAAGTTGACTTTACAGAGCCTGGCTAGAGGGATAGGCAGAGATTCAAACACCTCCTTTATTCTTCCTCACGTTCTTCCACTTTAGATTGGCTGATAAATACACTTATACACGCACGTATTTATCCGTACGATTAGGTCGAGTTTACCGAGTGCGGAAAGATCGGGAGTTGAGATAGAAAGTTGTTGGGGGTGTAGTTTTTTTTTTCAATCTTGCCAATAGTTATATATTTGTACAGGAGTTTGTTGGGTTATATCCGTACCCGTAGGTAGTAACACTGCCCTAAATCTTTATCGTGACTTGTGCCAGAGCCACATGGACGTAGTTGGTTGTGGGTGGATGAACAACTCAAGGAAAACGATTGTTTTGGCGCTATAGCCTGCGTGGAACGCTGGATTTTATTCTGTTTCATGTGAAAAGGAACTGATTTTTTCATAAAAAAACGGTTTGTGAAATTTTGGCGTAATATCCATCCAATAGAACAATTGAAGATCGTCGATCAACCAACATAAACCATGGTCCACTCCTCAAGCAGCTTGTCAATACCTGTTGCGTCTCTATCGCCGGTGCAAGTAGGCAAGAGCAGTGACATGAACACTGACACGCCAGTAGAGGATTTTGAATAAATTTCTCCTCATTGGACCTATTAGTATATATTCATATATTCCTGTGATAATGTTGTTTCGTTTTCCAGTTCGATCCCGACAAACCCTTCCTCCTTTATTTTAAGGCTGTTTGTTTTTTCAGAGTTCACAGTCGCTGACAGTTGATTGTTTTTGACAAGTACTAGTATACTACCAAGTACAGTATTTGAACGGACCTAGAACAGCCACGGCGTTTGGTTGGTGGTTTGGTTTCAGTTTCAATTCGGAGAGGGAGAGGGAGAAGGGATCCCAATTCCCATCATGACATTGCCAATGGCCGCCCACAGCGCTCTCCTCGCGGCGGCCGTCGCCATAGCCACGGCCACCGTCCTCCTCCCCTTCCCATGTATGCTACGCCGCCCCTCCTCTCTCCTGCTCCCCTCTCGTGTGCGATAAAGGCTGACCCGCCCGCCTCTCCTCGCATTTGCAGGGACGCCGCCGCGGGACCGCTTCGCCGACATGATCCTGGCCAACGCCACCATCTACACCGCCGACCCTGCCCGCCCGTTCACCGACGCCATGGCCGTCCGCGGCGGCCGCGTGCTCCGCATCGGCACCTATGAGTCCGTCAAGGTCCTGGCCGTCGACGCTTCGCTCTCCCCTCCATCTGATACTCTGCTGCTAGCTGCCCTGTATGCTGTGTGTGCTTGCTGGAGCTCAAGGGTCGCCACACGCATGAGCTGAGTCTCAGTGGGAACGTGGTGCTACCGGGGTTCACCGACTCCCATGTCCACTTCATCGATGGTGGATTGCAGGTACTAGCTACCAATTGCTGCACTCCAATTGACATGATCCACAAGTTATATACACACACACACACGAGGCTAAAATGCACCTGGGTGCAAATGCACCCGACCACGAGAGCGAGCGGCGAGACGCGCAGAGCGCGGCAAGCGAGAGACGTACCGGCCCGGACCAGACTCCACGTGTACCGCACAGCAGCTGGTCCTCGCATTAACAAACTCACGTTCGTGCATGCAAAAAATAGATGGAGGCAACCAACCATGTGATGCCACATCACAGGTTAACCCACCAACCAGGAAGCATACATGCAGGGAATCTTTTCTTGATTCAAACAAAAAAAATGCTCAGGCTCGTTGCATTCCTATTGGGTAGGCCAGTTGTGACTGCTCTAGACGGCTAGTTGCAGCATCGTTTGTATATCAGTTGCAACTCATCTCTTTAACCGATTGTAACTTTCGTCCTATACATATTGCAACCTTGGTGATAGGCTAGTTGCATTCCGGTTGGGTAGGCTAGTTGCAACTGCCCTGGACAGCTGATTGCAGCTCCGTTTGTTTACCAGTTCCAACTTAGCCCGTCAGCCGATTGCAACTTCAGTCGTACATAAATTGCAACTCTGGTGGTAGACTAGTTGCGACTCGTGTGATAGGCCAGTTGCATTCCATGCAACGAGTGCACATACCCTCTCTAACCCTGCGGTCCACGCACCACCGCACGCCCGCTGGACCCTCCCCACATTTTTCTGCCAACCTTGCGCTCGTGCATGCAAAATTAAATGGACACAACTAACCACGTGATGCCACCTCACAGGTCAGCCCACCCACCAGGAAGCATGTATGGATGGAATCTTTTCTTGATTCGATTCGAAAAATGTGATATCTCCTAAACCTCAGATCCGTTTTTAAATCCATTTGAAGTAGGTTCTTCAAAAAAAATATGCTTAACAAAATGAGATCCATGAAGGCTATATTTGTTAAAAAAAATAAAGTATGTAATTGCATCTAAGTTGTACAATGAGTTGCAACCACGTCTGCAACACAATTACAACTTGGTTGTAGCCTATTTAGCTGAAACATTTTCAATGAACTCATGTACAGTAAACAAGCAAGCAAGCAGGTAGTAGAAACATTTTCAATGAACTGTGTCAGGTTGGCGCAACAGCTCACGTTCCTTCATTCCTTGTGCACCGGACGACGCTGGCACGAAATTGCTTGTAAAGCTGCTTGCTCATAGGCAGATGTTTGGGTTGACTGTGAGTGTGCTCAAAAGAAAATTTGCCGCAGGGAGCAAGGAAAATGTGTCAATGGTAGTTCTATTTCCACACCACAAAGCATTGAGCCATCCTCAAGGACTTCACGTACAAATTATGCATAGGGTGAGAGGAGAAAGAAAGAACTTCACTGAAAGGAAAAAAAAAGAATAAGGAAAAAAAACTAAAACAGAGGCACGCACACACGGGAGTTGCTTGCAGCAAATAATACTACTGGGAATGCATGCGGTGAGTCTCGGCAGGCAGGCCATGCATCACATGCATCTGCATCGATCAAACATGCGAGCAGGGAATCTATCTGATCTCTATGATCAGTACAACTACAACACCAGGCAACAGTTGTACACGACCGCGAATCCGTGGATGAACCGATGAACAAAACTAAACGAGAGCCAGGCCAGTGGCAAGCATCCAAGAAGCGCATGCTAGCTCTGCCTGCTACCATGCATGCACGTACCAACTGAGCTTTGTGCGTTGCGTGCCGATGGGTCCTGCATAGGCCGGTTGGAATCTGGTTGGGTAGGCCAGTTGCGACTGCCCTGGACGGCTGGTTGCAACTCCGTTTGTATACCAGTTGCAACTTAGACCGTCAGCCGATTGCAACTTCCGTCGTACACAAATTGCAACTCTGGTGGTAGACCAGTTGCGACTCGTGTGATAAGCCAGTTGCAGTCCGGTTGGGTAGGGCAGTTGCAACTCCACTGGACAGCTGGTTGTAGCTCCGTTTGTATACCAGTTGCTACATAGTTACAACCCAGTTGCTACATAGTTGCAATCATTAACGCACAGAGGTGTAACTCGTTGTAAAAATAATAAAATATATCAATATTGGATCTAGTTTTGTTAAGCACATTTTTTGAGTAAGATGCAACAAACGGTTTGTTAATCGGGGTTACGGTTTAGGAGAAAATTTATTTCAAAGAATCGAACTCACAAAAGATTTCATCCATGCATGCATGCTGGCTGCTAGTTGTATTTGTTGCACCTGGCTAACCATGAGTGGTGAGAAGTAGCAAATTAACTATTGGTTGTCTCAGGTGTATGCATACTGGTTGGTTCGCTCTGACTCGCTTACCAGCCTAGGTGCATTCTGTATAGAGCCGGTTACTACATAGTTGTACATATAACCAGTTACTATACAGTTGCAACCCAATTGCTACTCTAGTTACAATCAGATATGATACCAACTCTGAATTGCAACTGAATCTGGTTATGAAGACCAGATGCAAAAGGTACACAAAGTTATAACTAGTTGCAACTTGGTAGTATACGGAGTTGCAATCAGTAACACACAGAGATGCAACTCGTTGTAAAAATAATAAAATATATCTATATTGGATCTAGTTTTGTTAAGCACATTTTTTTGAGTAAGATGCAGCAAACGGTTTGTTAATTGGGGTTATGGTTTAAGAGAAAATTTATTTCAAAGAATCTAACCCACAAAAGATTGCATCCACGCATGCATGCAGTCTGGTGGGATTTGTATGCAACGTGGCTGTGCATAGTAGGTGGATGATACAAATTAACTAAGACGCATGCATGACATTTTCTGGGGTGACAGTTCACGTGCGGGAGGTGCGTTCGGATAGTGGGCTGATTCGGCCGGTTGCACGGACTAGGCGCACCGGTTGGCCTAGGTGAATTCTATGCACAGAATGCACCTAGGTGCAATATAGCAAAACAGTATATATATATATATATATATATATGGAAAATTTTTCCTACTCCCAGGTTTTAGCTACTCCCTCTCTTAATCTCACGTGGATACACCTTCGAACCATCTCACGGCTGACCGTGGTGGGCAGGTTGCCTAGCGGGTTCAAAATGGTGGACCCGTTAATCCAACCTATATAAGAAAATTTAGCGTTACGGTGTTTAGGGTATTCGGCTGCGTCGGCGGCTTTCAATTCACTGGTTTCATTGGGCGGCTTTCCATTTTCTTTTTCAGCGTCACCATTTGCAGCAGGGGCCTCGTCGGGATGGTCGCCGCCACATGATTGTGACTGGCCACCAACGTGCCTAAAAATGGAGGAGCCTAACACCGCTCTGATCTCCGTCGGCGGTGCGACAGCCCCATGCGTTTGTCGGTACGCACTATCTTTTTTTCTCGATCTTGATTTGTTGGTTCTAATCTACACGCTAGTTTCCTTCAAAATGCTCATCAACATGCCTTCGTTCTCATCTAGTTCGTTGTCTCCGCCTCACGGCAGGGAGGCAGGGCGCCACCACCGGCCGACGGCGCTGCATGGAGCGGAAGCAGGGTGCCCACAGGCTGTACTGGATGCGTCTCTCTTCTCTCCACCGAGCGACGCCGCGATCTAGATCCTGGCATCCAGACCATGCTTCTGCCGTTGCGAACTGCGCCTTTCTTCCTTCTCCTGCAGTCGGCATACGTCCCAATCGTCCTCAATCACCCCCATCGGAACGGAGATCCATGAGGACCTGTGGTGATCGGTAATTCTTTTCTTCTCTCTCTATGCCTATGGATGCCTCATTTTCTGTAATACAGATCCTTGAGTCCTCACATCTGAAGCTTTTATGCGGTGGATATGATGGATTCAGATTCCATTAGGATTTTTAAGCACTGATTTTTTTTCACCACCAGTTTCAGATCGGACTTCAACATGAGACTGCAGATCATCATGTCAAATGTCATTAATTGGAGTTTCCGTCCACGTGAAGCTACTCCTGCCATCATGTACATATATTTTATTGTCAAAAATAGTCTAAATACATACTCTCGTTGTTTTGTATATCTCCATACATGAATTATTGTAAAAAAATAGTCTGAATACATACTCTCGCTGTTTTGTATAGCTCCATACGTGAATGTATGCACATATACTACGAATGGTGTGGTTTAAGTATGCACTTATACTATCTAAATCTTGGCGTATGTATGCATACTCCATTCTCCGATCATCATATACATATATTTTATTTTCAAAAAGTAGTATGAACACATACTCTCGTTGTTTTGTATATCACCATACGTTAATGTATGCACATATACTCGGTCGTGTGGTTTAAGTATGCATTTATACTATCTAAATCTTTGGTGTATGTGTGCATGCCCCATTCCAAAAAGTATGTATAAATACTCTATTCTAAAAGGTATGTACAGATACTCCATTCCAAAAAGTATGTGTGCATCCGGGATCATGGCAATTTTTCATATTATACAAGTTGTAGTCCTGTAGATACTTATTTCACAAATTATCATCCGAGATCCATGGCAATTTTTGTATAATAATATACTACTCAGTTTCCTTCAACAAGTATGTGTGCATACTCTTCTTGCTAAATACGTATAATATATATGTCTGCATACTGCTCTTACCCATGTATGTAGACATACTCCCACTGAACACGTATGCATTCATACAACGCACGGACCGTGTACGTACACATACTCCCACAAACCGTGTATGTACACATACTCCTTGCATGCGAAATTTTAAATACTAGCACAACTTTGAAAAGCGGTAACCAACAAATAAGCCAGCCAACCCAAAATAATGGGTTACACGCGCACGAAAAAATATTAATTAATTAATTAACTAAATCACACATATTAGTTAGCTCCTTAATGGATCTTTGGAAACCCGTTAACTGCTGCAGCGCCCTTCTCACCTGCATTACATGCACGTGGGAGTAACTACTCCCGGGAGTATAGAAAATACACTATATATATATATATATATATATATATATATAGTATGTTTAGTAGCCAGCTACAAAATAAGTTATTCTGTAGTCATCTCATCTCCATTTACGATAATTTTATATACTAATTTACGATAATGTCAATACATATTTACGATAATTGAGTTACTAATAACACATGGGGATATATATATATATATATATATATATATATATATATATATATATATATATATATATATATATATATATATATATATATATATATATATATAGGGGAACTCCTTACTAAGTGATTTACTATAATGTTATGATAAATATCCCCATGTGTTATAGTAACCCAACTATCGTAAATATGTATTGACATTATCGTAAATTAGTATATAAAATTATCATAAATGGAGGTGGCTAGAGAATAACTTATTTTGTAGTCTAAGATGCGGAATATACCTCTGAACCAAAGTAAAAAAAAAGTCAAGTATATCACACAAACGTATAAGAAGGAAGGAAAATAAAGATAAATAGTTTATAATTCCTTTTTCTCACCCTTCAGATTGCATAGTTACCGTGTTCCCAATGTCAGCAAACTTGCGGCCTTCAAAGATCATGAAGTTGTGCTTCCCAGCAGTCTGCAATTGAAAGCTAAGAATCTGCAATACCGAGTAAGCTATGCAGTAACCAGATGCAGAGTATAACTTCAGTAATTGGAACAGGATTACCCAAAACACCTCCAGTAATAATGAACAAAATAAAATCAAGCTAAAGAACCAATTAGGGATTTTGCGTTTCAGTAATGGACAATCCATTCCGATTACACACAAGGATACTGTTTTTTTCGCGAGCAGGGTTTAGCCCGTGTTTCATTAAGAAGACAGGAGTTTAAACGTTACAGATCGACACAATCTCACTGAGAGACACATGCGAGATTGATCGTGCGACGAAGGAACCAGCAATATTACAAAAAAGGACTATACGGCCATACTGTTACGCGACCAAAGACAAGGATCTCTAGTGGCCTACACGGCACTCTCGCCCGGCACGCGCAAGCTTCGCCTACTAGAGAAAAGCACGCACATTGCCTCCTTCTTCGAGGGTGACAACGGCGGCGCAAACGCCTTTTGGAACTCTTCAAACGACGCCTCATCGGGTAGCTCAGTTTCGACCTCAAAACCCAAACACTTCATCATTACCTTCCTCGCCTGCGCTTCAGGTTTTTGGGCTCTGAACTTGCTCTTTGCTGCAAGGCGTGCACTCCTCTTGGGGACAAATCCTTCACCGTCATCGTCACCCTCCCCCGGGATCTTTGTGATCCGAAGCTTGAGTGGCGACGAAAGGATAGGCTACTGCAACGGCTTCTTGAAAGCATTGATGAAAGTGTCGATCGGCATGGTTGAGGCTGCGCCTCCGGGCGTGACCGCACGCGCGACGTCATCCACGGGCGGCATGAGGACAGGCTCAACGATGTTTGACTCATGGGCCGATGCTTGCGGCCACACATCGACGTCCGGTTGTGGTTGCGTTGTCTTGATCATTGCCAAAAGATGAACAGTTGGGCAGGCAAAGGGCCCGCGAGACCGGAGACATGACTGACGACCGAGTAGCAAGCTCTGCCTCCAGCTCCATCGGGTCCGGCGCGGGCTCAACGCGGTACGTGCGGTCAGGCACGTCGAGCTCGACCCCGTCGGCACCTCTTTACATGATAATAAGAGGACCAACATCTGATTTCTGACAGACAAAGTACAACTTCCAAAATCCAACTAGGCTATTAACACCCCTCCTGGGCTCCTGGGCTTGTCTTGTTTCAGCGAGACGTGTTGAATCTACGCTTTATATGTTTATTGTTAGGTCTCTGTCTCTTGACGTGGGCAGGCGCGAATTTGCTCAACATTTTGGCCATTCGCTTGTGCTCCTCCAGCAGTTCCACTACTTGGCTGACGGGCCTGCCGGAGCCCCGAGCGACCCGGTTGATCCGTGACTGCTGCTGTTTCGTCATCATCATCTTCATCGGGTCGGCCCCATCAAGCTCTGCAGCACTCATGGAGTCCATCATCGTCATGTACCTCTTGATCTTGGCCTGCTGCCCTTCCTCCTCCTGCTTCCCCTTGTCTCCCAATAATCCAGCTGGTAGGAAGGAGACGAGATGCCTTAGAGGACCCATGCTCTGCACTAACCGGAACAGACTGTACAGAGCCCTGAGAGTGAAAGTGAAGCTGGCTCCTTTAACCGTCGTCAGCTCGTGCAGAAGCTGCTCCAGTCCTTGTCCTTGATCAGGAGGCATGGGCATCGTCATGGCGTCCTCGATCTTGTCCATGAAGCCAGGCAAGTATCCCATGCCTAGCAGACGACTCACAAAGGACCTGGCGTCGAAGGCCTCCAGGTCTGCGATATGCTCCCCGGTGCCGATGAATATGACGGGGCTTTTTGTAGCTGCAACCGCGCTGAGCGCGCCGCCGCCCTTGGCGTGGCCGTCCATCTTGGTGACGATGACGGCGCCAACCTCGACGCTCTGCTTGAACGCCAGCGCCTGGTGGAACGCGGCCTGGCCGATGCTGGCGTCCATGACGAGCACCACCAGGTCCGGCCGCGTGGCCTCCTCGAGCTGACGCATCTCCTCCAGGAGAGCGGCCTCCTGGCTGTGGCGCCCGCTCGTGTCGACGACGATGAGGTCGCATCCCTCAGCAGCTTGGTCGTTCCTGAACCTGTCCACGCCCTCCCCTCGACGGCGACCCTCACAGGATCTGACTCCGTGTAGGATCCGTAGAAAGGGATGCCGGCCTTGGCCTCGTTCTGCCTCAGCTGGTCCAGGGCGCCGGCCCGGAACGTGTCGGCGCACACCAGCGCGGGGCTGAACCCCGTCCGTCGGTGGTAGTCCGCGTACTTGACGCAGGTGGTGGTCTTGCCGGAGCCCTGCAGGCCGACGAACATGACCACGCTGGCGGGCTTCCTCCCTTTCCTTGGGACGAAGCAGGGCGGCTTCCCGCTCCCGGCCGCGGGGTCCAGCATCCTGCGCAGCTCGTCGACGACCGCATGCTTGATGGCGCGGCGCCTGTCGGTGCCGGCGGCGAGGGACTGGAGGTTGACGGCGCTCCTGATGCTGGCCTGCACGGCCCGGACCGTCTCGAAGCGGACATCGGCCTGCAGAAGCGCGCGCGAGACGTCGTTGAGGCAGTCCAGCACCACCTTGTCGTCCACCACCGTCGCCTTGGCCATCCGGGCCAGCGCGCCGACTAGGCTCTCTCCCAGCCGCGCCAGCACCATCTCGATCGGCGGCTCGGGTGATGGCGACGGCGACGGACGAGTGGGGCGCGCGGTTCTCCGATCCGATCGATCCTCCGGCTCCGGATGAACCTCGATCACGTACGTCCTCACCAGCGGCGGCTAGTATGGACACAACACGACTACACGAGATATATATGATTGCTTGCGATGCGAGGTGATCGCGTCGCGTCGGATCGGAGTTGGGTGAAAGACCGACCTGAAAACGAGTAGGCTAATTCGATCTGTACCGACTCCGTACGTGTTGCCAGACTCTAGCGGACAACGGTCAGCACGTGCCTTGCCAATTGCCATCGAATCATACTCTGTGTTGACAACCAAGTTTGGCATATTTTTTATATTATTATATTATTATTACATTGTGTGTTGATGGAACATAGTGCTCATAATTTGATCACGCAGTATCGTAACAGGGACATTTTCCTCCATGTATTCAACAACATCTCAGCGGATTGCCAAATACAAATTTAAATTTTAAGGCAAACGTAACCTTACATGAACAGAACAGAACACATTCAGTACCGGTTGGTAATACAAACCGGGACTAAAGGTAGACCCTTTAGTCCCGGTTGGTAACACCAACCCGGACTAAAGGACCCTTTAGTCCCAGTTGGTAACATCAACCGGGACTAAAGGTTCCCTGATGGGTTAGTTCAAAAGGGAAGCATCACATCCATTGTTAGATGTATTGTGTAGGTGGGGTGGTAAGCTACGCGCGAGGCAATGCATGGGGTCTTGGGTTCGAATCTCACGGGACGTAGCGACGGGAGGCATTATTTTTTTTAAAGCTGGGAGGACCTTTAGTCTCGGTTGGTGTTAATTCGAATAAGATGAACGCAAAGACTGCAACGCTATCTCTTCGTACTGGCACTATTACCGCGCGCGCACACGCGCTACTCGTATCGTCTCGTATATAGTTCAATGAATGAATTGGTTCGAAAACGATATGAACGAATTGGATTGGAAAGTGCATTCAGTAGGGCACGAATGGCTAGAAGGTTCCTGAGCAAGTCAGACAGTATTGGGAGTCGTCATCAATAAGAACTAGGGCTTTCCTTAAATGCTACGATCAGTCAACCCAGAACCCGAGCCAGGTGCAGAGTCCAAAGAAAGGTTGTCGCTTATGTTGCTCTTTCTTGCTTTGAAAGCAAGACCCTCTTTAGTCCCGGATGCTTACTCCCGGGTGGGGAACCGAGACTAGAGGGGGTTCCCCACCGGGAGTAAAGCTCTGTTTTATACCAGTGGGCTCGACAGAGAGGCGGAGCGGAGTGAATCACCGGCGCGGCGAGGGCATGGCCGCATGGCACACGGAGAGGAGGCATTGCAGGGGATGATGCCACCGGGCATTGGAGCACATGATGCCACCGGAAAGAGGCGGCGACTGCGAGGCGGTGCCCGCCAGGCCGCCGTTGCCGCAGGGGAGGAGGAAGCGAGCGGCGGTGGCAGCAGGAGCAGTTGACCCTCGGCGAGGACAGAGAGACGGCATCATAGGGCCCATGGTCAGTCCTCTTTGTACACGAGGCTGACTGACGGGCCCACCTGTCAACTACCTGCGCCCCGTCAGCGCTCCCCTCCCCTGAAATTATTTAAGCCTCGCCATCCCACCCGCCCGCTCTCTCTCTCTCCTCTCCGGCTTTCCCCTCCTGTCTCCTCGGAACGAGGAGCAAGAAACGCACACGACGCCGCACCAAGCCGGCAAGACGGACCTCCTCCAGGCCGTGCATCTGCAGAGCCGCGACGAAGACGAGAAATGGCTGTGATTGAGATGTGCGACTGCGACGACCACCAGGGCTATGGGGACGGCGAGTCGTACGTCGTCGGCGTCGACGGCGACGGCCAGGGGGACGGCTTGGGAGCTCTGCGCCCGCTCCACTGCGTCTACCTCGTCGTCCTCCCCCATCCTTCCGATGCTCACCTTCACCTTCGGACGGACATAATGCTGCCGAGCGATGGATTGCCAAGAAAACCAAGAAGCGCTGCCGAGTCCGCCACGCCGCCGCGGCACAGCCACACGAAGACCGGTATGAACCGAGACGTCGTCGGCTACGGGGAAGAAGACGAGGAGAGCAACTTCGTCGGCTTCCTCTACCCCGCCGATGTGTTCTTGGAGCTCAAGGACGCCGGCGAGGAGACGACGGAGACGGGTATGAACCGCATCGTCGTCCGCTACGGGGAAGGCGACGCGGAGAGCACCTACGTCGTCAACTGCGTCGCCTTCGTCCACCCCGCCGATGTGTTCTTGGAGCTCCGGGACGACACCGGCGAGTTGCTCGGGCACGTGAGGTTTCTCTCGGAGTCGGAGGTCGGGTTCGGCGACGGCGACACCGGCGGCGAGAAGCTCGGGCGCTTGAGGCTTCTCTCGGAGTCGGAGGTCGGGTTCGGCGACGACTATTTGGTTTAGGGGCAGAGTGAGACAAGATGGATCCGTTCCTGATTCAGGCGTTGAATGGACTGGGAGACAGGAAAAGTTGGCGGACACACGCACGAGGCACGTGGATGCTTCCGATTCGTAAGCAGTAACCGAACAGTAGCCGCGGATGCTAGAGCTCTATGGAGTTTCTTATTTCTTTATACCGTCACCATTGGCCCCACGAGTCATCCTTCCAATCTTTGTTTACCGGTATCCTTATCTTCTCCCCGCGCGTGCAGATGAGGAGCACCGCCGCCCACTCGAACTCTCGTCCCTCGCCACCATCTATCGGCGCCTCCCCGGCCCGCCATCGGATGGATCTCCCGCGCTGCTCTTCCGGACCACTGTGCCTCAGGAGTTGGTTCTTGCGCGCTGTCGTCGGGCCCTTGTCATCACATCTCGTCGGGCTATCGTCGCTATGTCTCGCTGGCCCTCGTCGCCAGCCTGTGCCTCTCCACCACCGCCATCTTGCACCTTCTTCGCCACCATCTCGAGCTTCTTCGCTCCGCCCGTTAGGAGATCTATTTGGACCGCGCAGCCACGCCCCCATGTCATCCTCACCGCCTGAGCTGTGCGGCTCGACTTGCTGCACGGTGGAGCGAACGATGCTCATCGTGTCGCCTTTGCCCTCTCGCCGGAGAGCTCCAGCTCATCGCGCTGCCGTTCCAGCCACACCTAGAGCCAAAGCCGGAGCATCACAACGTAAATGGGGGACGAGCCTGTCCCCTCGATTTGGTGGGATGGGGACGCCTCAAATTTGAGGGGCATATTCCCCTTAAGCACGGACTCGTCCCAAGTTCACTATTGGATTTCGGTTCTTTGCCGAGTGCACGAGGCACTCGATAAAGGTTAAATTGCACTTGGTAAAGTCTTTGCCGAGTGCGGCACTTGGCAAAGAACACACGGTAAAAAATTGATCGGCAAAGTCCTCTTTGTCGAGAGCCCCGAGGGCACTCGGCAAAGAAAAGCGACCGTCACGGCGCCGGCCCCGTTGACGGTCGCTTTGCCGAGTGCCAACCCTACATGCACTCGGCAAAGATTTTTTATTTTTTTTTAAAAAAATTATTTGCCGAGTGTCCTCTATCCGGCCCTCGGCAAAGATGTTTTAATTTTTTTTTCTAACAATTCTTTGCCGAGTGCCCCCTGGCCGGCGCTCGGCAAAGTTTGAATTTTTAAATTTTTTTTTGCCGAGTGCCCTCTGGCCGGCACTTGGCAAAGTTTGATTTTTTAAAAAAAAATTCTTTGCCGAGTATCATGGTCATGACACTTGGCAAAGCTGGAAAAATAGTTTTTCGAGCGCCCATTTTTTTAGCTTTGCTGAGTGTTGTGACCATGACACTCGGCAACGGGGTCCTTTGCCGAGTGCAACACTCGGCAAAGTGACCCAAAACGGCAATTTTTAATTTTTTTTACATTCCATTATGACAAATAAATTCATACAAACATATATCACATATATATCTCATCCATCACATATATATCTCATTCATCACATATATATTTCATCCATCACATATATATCTCATCCATCCACACATCCATCCGGACATATCACATCCATCACAATATATATCACATATATAATAATAAGTGCTCAAGTCCATCCAAATAAATCCACAAGTCTATCATAAGTCCATCAAAGTCCACAAGTGCATCACAAGTATATCACAAGTCAATCACCAAATGAACAACAAATAAAAAAAATACAACGTGCACTCATCTCGGCCACTGCGACTGTGGTGAAGGTCCAGCTCCATCATTCGGAGATGCATGAGGTGGATTATTCGAACCACCATCAGATAGAGACTGCACAAAGGAGAAAAGATTGCATGTGAGACAAGATTATTTAGATAGCTAATCTAGGAAGGTAGAGGCCTTACAAGCAAAGCACAAGCGAAAGTAAAAAACTTTCATACTCACAGGAGTAGCTGCAGCTGTAGGACGTGGAGGCGGAGGTGGAACCAACAGCCCAGCTGGCAGAGAGAAGCCCACACGTTGCCCAAGCCCTTGTAGGAACTTTGTAATGTCCATCAGCCTCTACGCCTGGGCCTGCCGCTCGGCCCGCTCGACCTCTAGCTGGGCAGCCATCCTTTGCTGACCGGCCTCCAGCTCCTAACTTGCCTCATTTCTTGTTCCAACCGGGCCTGCAATATTTCACTCTAATATTTCAGTAATACAAAGCTAATTAAGGTGTGTAAAGATCAATGTATGACGAGTAAAACAGGAATAACCTTGAGTGCGTCGACCCGGTGCTGTGCAGCGGTCGGTCATATGCGAATGGACGGGCTCTCGCTCGTGCTCCGTGCTCGGATCTGGGAGAGAGAGGGAGTAGAGGCCGTGTCGATGACGCCGTCGCCAAGCCAGAACCGCCCATGCTTCTTGCCTTGCCCCGCCCTCATGACGGCCTCTCCATCGAAGTCCTGGGTGCTCGGATCGTGGTCTGACCCATGGAGCGACCTCGCCACCTCAGCGTACTCACTGATGCGGGAGTGGACGCTCGGGTTCGTGTATGCCTCGGGCGGGTCCTCCAGGTTGAAGGAGACATCGGACGTCGCCTTGCCCTTGTGGGCCA